TGTCGAGACCGCCTTAGTGCGGCTCCTACAAGAGCGATCTGTAAAGATAAAGGGATACAGGGGGGACCATCGTTGAGTGGTTTCCCCCGGAATGTTCCCGTGGGTAATTTCATGATGTGGTATAACATTGGTCAGGGACGACACACCATCGAGTGGGTCTCCTTGTGGGCTGGAGTGCCTGTGGCATCTTCCTCCTGACACCAGTCTCGTATTCGTGATGACATCATGTGATTAGGGTCACTGAGCGACACTCAGTGGTGCGGATTGGTCTCTGGAGAGCCCTACGTTGTCCGCCGGCCTCCTCAATAGGAGGATTCCTGCTGATCCATCCGAGAGTGGATCGGTTCGTGGCACAAGCTTTGTGCGACGAAGCATGTCTGTTGACACAATGTTTGTGTATTTGGTGTCGCCTCACAATTAGAATGCTAGCCTGTTAAGCTTGGCTCATGGCTAATAGCTGATTTTCGCTGAGGTTTGAACACATTAGAGGACTAGATTGTCCCATTAGAGGAGGTTTGTGATTCCTGGGAAGCTCAGTTGTTCCTTTTCCCTCCTCCAATCCAATATGAATAACGCCACTCATGACGAAGTTAAACAGCTTCTGCCTTCTGACTATCCAGAGGTTCTTCTGGACGCTGTGGTGGAGAGACTCATTGCTATGGAGATCACTAATCAGAGAGATCTCGTTGGTCTTGCGTCAGACGATCCACTATTGACCTCTTTGGTCAACTCATTATTCCCTGCGGCGGCTAAGGAGACTGATGATGCTGAGCAATCACGGCTTGTGAAGGCAATGAAAGTGAGATCTCTCATCAAGGAGGCTTGTGCGAAGTCTTCTCTCAAGAGTACATCCAGCTCGCAGGAAGCCTCGCTGAAAGACTATTCTGCTCGTTTTTCTGCAAGATATGGTGGTATGCCATCGGCATCGCTCTTACCGGATGGTGGTATGCTGAAGCTTGCCCATAATGATATTGCTGCCTACAAGGAGTTTAAGGTCGCTCTCGTCAACGGTGAGCCATCAGCGGCGTCGTCCGACAAGGTTCCCACGATTGACAGCGAGGGGAAGATAGTGTTCAT